CGTGACTCACTACAATATTTTCTCTCATAAAAAATACACGTAAAACGAGAATAATTCTGAATCATGATTCCAAATCTACGAACTAAACGTCTACTTAATTTCAAAGGTATCAGCCGTGATGATCACGACAATAAGCTGCTTTCTAAGCTTAAATTAAATCAATTAAAATAGTAGGGCGTAATAGTAGCCCTCTTATATGTGCCTCAAATGAAATCAATATTAGAGGAAGTGGGACCGTGAGTACTCTGGTTAAATAGCAGCACTCTTTTATATAAGAACATTGCAATAAGGCACTACAACCTATTATTAGAAGGTGAGAGATCTGTGCTAATTAAAAATTTAGTATTTGATTATAAAAAAACATTCTTTAATATAATGTTATTTATTATGTTAAATTTCTCATATGGTATATTTTGTGGTAAATTTTCCATTAAATATAACATATGAAAAATTTAGCGTTTAATTACTATTAGTTGAAATATGTACTTTTTTCATATAATCATTGCAACTTTTATATTTTTTAATTATTATAAAAATAAAAATTTACTTTTACAACTTTTAAAGCTTAATAATTATAAAAAAAATATATTTAACATTTTAAATAATATTATGCATTTAAATAAAAATAAAATAATATACTATATCACATTTTTAATACTAAATATATATAATTAGTATTAACATTTACATTAAAAATGGTATGAGATTTTACATACGGGGCATACGGTAATTAACACCGACGGTGTCTCGGACATTTTTCTATAAAACCATGCACGAGTGAATTTTTCTATAGCGGACACAGAGTGTACCCCACGGCAATTATATTATATTGGTGTATTGACTTGACTCGAAGAAACATGAGTATTAATTAAAGCAGCTTCTAAGCATTATCGATAAGAATATATATATATATATATATATTGAATAGAATTCAATTCAACATATACTCCTCACCAAATTTATTATTATATGTGCCTGAAGATAATTTATTATTGGATGTCGCCATATTATCATAAATTTATCTTTAGCTCATAATTCGAGATACATACACAAGACCTAATAGATTCATGACGTGTCAACTAATAATATCCCAACATGGGATATTGATCATAGTGATGATCATGAATATTACACAACTTAGATCTGCATAGAGGGCAAGTCCCTCGGCCCTGATCAATCCAAGCATCTAGGCACTCTCTATGAAACACGTGGCAACAATTGAATGGAACTCTCACCTCATGCCTTGCCTCTATTCCACTCAAGCACACAATGCAGATGTTATCATTGTCGTTTTCGCTAACCTTTCCCGTTTCTCTTTGAAGGAAGCTGCCGTACGACATCATGGGAAGTTGTTTCTTTATCAATGAAGCAGAAAAACGATAATAATCTTCTTCTTCGTCATCATAGTGAGACAAATCTTCGTCATAAGGATCACTAGGAGTTTCATCACGTTTCAGAGGATATATTATTGCTTTGATGATCAGCCAAAGGAGATGAAGAATGTGTATGAGAATGTGCATTAGAATATGGGAAAATGGAGGGTAATTTCCATGAGAGAATATTATAGGTTTTGAGAGTATGGGAAATGCAATATTCAAACAGGGAAAACCCATTAATATTATTGATGAAGCAACTAAAAGTGAATCAGATTCACCAAAAAAAAAAAAAAAAAAAAAAAGAAGTGAATAAGAAGGCAAAGAAGGATTTATAGATGATGATGAATGACTTGAAACGGAAGGGTCCTAATGGGTGATTTATAGGAATTATTAGGAAGGTATTAGTTAATGAATAATGGTTGAATTGGCAAAGTAAGGATTAAATCTTGACACGGAACTGTCTTTTTTTTTTTTTTTTTTTATATATAGAAACTGCATGTTTTAATTGTGAAGTACAACTTAAATTGATGACATTCATTCGCAGTTAAGATATATTTAATGAATTGTCATTTTCTAAAGCTTTCAACTTTCCTCCAAAGAAAATTTGGAGAAGTCAGATTAATTTGCGTTGACAAAATCAGTTACATGAATAAAGGAGGCGCTAGCATAATAGCATTAATTCCTTCCATAGATTCTATGCTTATTTACTCTCATTAGATTGAGAGAAAATACCTTCTATTAAGGGGGAAAAAAAGTAGAAAATCTTATATGTTAAACTGAAAATTAAAGAAGACCCCCAGCGAATTAATAAATAGTTGTATATTGTTTTTTTGCTCAAAATCATAGAAGTAGTTAGTTCATTTCATTTTATATATTATCTATGTTTTATTAGCATCAATATCCTTTCTACCCTAGTTATTTCATTGAATTAAGTATATTATTTAGGTTTTATTCTTCATGCTTTCACACACATAACAAACTCATTGTTGGACGTCTTTGTCCTCTCAATGCCAAATCTATGTTCTTTGATAATCACCAGATGAAATTGACAATAATCACCATGATGACTTTGCTTTTTAGGATAATTAAAACATAACTTAGGATTTTTTTTATGGAAACAAAAATATATAAAATACAAGTACTGCTAATTTTAAAATAAATAAATTTTATTGAGATGTGGATTTGAAGGGAAAGATCTCTCTTTATATATTTAAGTCTCGTTCATTTCACCGATTTGAGTTTTCAGTTTTAAGTTTCTACAGTAAAAAGCTCTCAGAAAATATCATATTTAATTTTTTCTACTACAGTAAAAAGCTCTCAAAAAATGTCATATCTCAGCTCGAATTGAAAACTCAAATCCGCAAAGTGAACGAGGCCTTAGCCAGATGCCCAATTCCTTCATGACTAGTCAATGTGGGACTATGAAGCTAGCATTTCAGATACATTTGGGCTTTCACTGAATTTAAGACTTTGAGAAAGTTTTTCTAATTCCATATTTCCATTCGGAAGCTGCTGAATCTACAAATACGGAGACTTAACAAGTACAATACAAGATTGTTGAACAATTGCCAAGTGATATATAGTGTACGGTCAACCTATCATTTATGAGTTTACCCAAAGAGCAAAGCCTAATCACACATGTTGTGAAAGTTCGGTCTTGAAAATTTATGCTTTTGTGAAAGGCTTCTCCATTCACAGTGTTTGCTAGAAGTGAAAACTACTAAAAAAAGTTTTGAAAAAAAAGTGGCTTTGTTTAGAAGTTACAACCTACTTTCATAAGGGACTCCAAAAATTTAAGACAGTTTAGATGATTGAAATAAGGGAAAAAATCATTTTGGCACTTTTAATTATTACAAAACATCTCAAAGTTATATGTTTTTTTTATAATATTAAAAAAGTAAATTCATATTTAAATAAATATCACTTTTATACTCTGAGATTAATTTTTAGGAGATAAAATATCATTTTTACCTTTTTAATTAATCAATCACTTTTAACTGTGCTTAGCCTTGATTCTGGGCTTGTAGCCCCCACGCCAAATCATAACGGGCTCTTCAATAAAATGACACAAATTCATGGCATGGATTAACTTATGTCCATAAAATATATATATATATATATATATATATTTAGAGAGAATGTCATATCGTGTAATCATACTATATTTTGAAATACTAAATATGTCCTTAAGATGATATCCATTATAATGCTAGCTGTTATTAAAAAAGTATCTCATATTTTAAGAACATCATATTTTATCATGAACTCGTGTTTTGTAATATGAAATTTCCAACTTATCTTTTTATTAATAAAACCTCAAATTAATTTTGTAAAACTATTAAAAAAAAGGAAAAATTTTATTTTTGTAGCCTGTGTTTTAGGGTAATTGTCTTTTGGTCGCCTGTGATTTTAATAATTTCATGTTGGTACATCAATCTTTTAGAAAATAGTTTTTTATTACCTTAGGTTAATTTTCAAGATGTGAAATGTCATTTCTATCATTCTCATTAATTTAATAGAAATAAAAAATTGTTTAAACCCATTGTTGGACGTCTTTGTCCTCTCAAGGCCAAATCTATGTTCCTGGAGGTTTTTTTTGCTCTTTGGATGGTCGTAGTTGTAATTTGAGTATGCTTTATTATTATTATTATTATTATTATTATTATTATTATTATTATAAAAATTTCAGGCTATTTTAGTCTTTTTGGTTGAGTGTTTATTCTGCCACATGGCAGAAAATTTAATAGTTCTAGGCCTCATTTAGTTCGTTAATTGGAGTTTTTAATTCGAGTTGAGATGTGACTTTATATGAAAGCTTTTAATCGTTGCATAAAAGGTTAGATGTGACTTTTTGTGAGAGCTTTAACTGTAACAAAACTTGAATTAAAAACTCAAATAAGTGAAATGAACGAGACCCTAATCACTCCGGCAGTTTTCAATCCCCACTTAATTTCTGTGTCATGTTGCTTAAATATCTCCAATTAATTGAATAAATAATACGGAAATCTTGTCTTAACAATAATACTACGACATATTGATTATAGTTATGATAATTATCATGAATATTACACAACTTAGATCTGCATGGAGGACAAGTCCTTTGGCTTAGAAACGGCATGATGTTTAACCGTTATTAGAAGGATATGTAGTTTATAACGCATAAACGACGAACATTTTCATCAGTGATAACTGATAAACTGCTTATCGTTTGTTTACCATTTGAAAAACAAAATACAGACAACAATATGTTGCCCAGTGCCTAGTTTTAACGACGAATACCACATTCCAACAAAATGCATGTCGTTTTCTATGAGGATGCAATGGAACACGATATTGTGAAGATAACATTATTCTATTATAATGTAAACGACATGTCGTTAGTAAGTAAAACTAAAAATACGTGACCAAAAACGACAGCTAAAAGCGCGGAAAGGTAGCAGTACATCGTTTCGTTTCAGCGTTGAACAAACTTTTGCCGTTAGCTATCGGATAAACGATTATAACGAAGTGTCGTTAGCGTGTGACCCAATCGACACGTCGTCGTTTACCATTTCGAATGGACAAAAATGCAGATTAAAACTTGGAATTCAGAGATCGAAAACGCTAAAACGAAAGGTAAATAAGTAACAGAACTTCAAAAGCTTTTTTTATCTTCACCTTTTCTTTCTCTAAAACACTGTCAACGACAAAGGATTACATACAGAGGGATGAGAGGGCAGGGAAGCCTATAACAATGGCTAAAAAAAAAGATGGATACACGAAAGGCACATGGGAACATCAGACTAATATCCTGAGGACAAGAAATTGACAATTAAACAACAATCTGCTTTCATAAGTTAAAAAAGCTAATCTCTTGTAGCCGAGCTAAAAGCGAGAACTAAATCTCTTCCTTGAACGTCAAAACATCTCTTGCCAGTCCTGAATAAATATTTACTGATTGCTTAACTTCACTGCACATCCATGAAACATCATCTCCATCTACCACAGGAATCCCTGCCTCAGTTAAAAACACACTAATTAGGCTTACACATCCAAAATAACCATAACCCAGATACAACAAAAACGAAATTCAGTTATAAGTAAACAAAGTGTCAAGAACCAGATTTTTGCTTATCAGAGACAGCTGAAAATAACAAGAAAATAGGATTCCGTCGGGCTTGTGAAGATTGAGATTTTACAGAAACTTAACCCTGCTTGTTGATATCCTAACCAGAAAGTACGATCAAGTTGCAGTTCACATGCATGAATTAACTCTGAAGTAGATAAACAATTCTAAACCTTGATTCATTCTAACCAGTTGACTCTCCATAAAATTAACTTTCACCGATTTACCAGTCGCTTCCTCACATACTCCTGCTAGAATCACACATGCAATTCTTTCGGGGTAAAATGTTTCAACACAATGAAGGTTCAACAAAGCTCATAAAACTAGTGCAACACTACTTCCCCGCAATGTCTATGAAAAGCAAGATATTTATTGAATTATAAATCCATGATCCCAAATAAACTCACTTTAATCACGTGGACTGAAAAATCAGCTCAAACCAACACAATAACCAACCAAAATAAAAGAAGCTAAGTTCATCGTTGATTTTGTTAGACCACGCTCAATGTTTCTAATCAACGCCAAGTAGAGTTAAAAAGTTCATAATTTCACATTTAGCATATTCTACAGTTCATAGTTACATTCACTATAGCAATTCAAACATGTAGAAATAAAGCAATAGCATCTTCCAAATAGACTAAGCAATCAAGTATCTTAAAAGGAACGCTACTATTTATCACCAATGATGATGTAGAATTGAACTATAACTGTAGTCCAGCACAAGATAAAATTATGACAATTTTGACATACTAAATTACATATGGTGAAAAATACCATTTTTCAATTCAAAATCTAACAACTAGTTTAACTCATTCATTCCCAAAGCAAGAAAAAATAAAAATCAAAAGCTCACCCTTAAACTTTTAAAAGCTGCATTTTGTTAGCAAAGGCGATGGAGATCCAATCGGGCTGCGCGGCAGACCACTGGAGCTGATTGATCTCGGCGCCGGCGGAGTACATTGACATAGGATCAATCCCACTGGGTCCGGCCACCGTGGGAAGCTCCCAAATCAGGGCCTGAGTATCGTCCCCGGCGGAGCAAATGTGTCTGTAACTCTGCGGAGCCCAAGCGATAGCATTGACACTCGCTCGGTGCCTCTCCAGCTCTGCCACCGGCGTCGTGGGCGACCGAATATCCAAGATCACAACTTTATTGCTGTCCATGAGAATCGTCGCCATATACCTCAAGTCCTGCTTGTTCCAAGCAAGCCTAAGCAAGGGCGTATCGGGCTGCGGACTCTCGTAGATGATCGTGGAGTGTTCCTTGTCCCTCAAATCGAAGATTCTGACAGATCCGTCGGCGGAGACGGAGGCGAAAACCCTAGCCTCTCCCCAGGCGAGGTCGTAGACCTCCTTGTCGTGCGCAATGAGCTGCGTCTCAACGACGCCTTTCTCGATGTCCCAGACGGTGCAGGTCGTGTCGATGCTGGAGGTGCCGATCCTCTTCGGCTCGACGTCGTTCCAGTCGAATGACGTCAGCGGGGCGCAGAACTCGCTGGTCTTGCTGTTGTTGAGGACGGAGATCGGCTCGATGGAGGTGTCGCGGACCTCCCAGAGGCGGAGGTAGTCGCCGGAGGAGGCGAGGACGTCGAAGGACTTCTGGACAGAGGAAGGGTGGAACATGAGCTTCGTCGGAGGGTACGGGTGGTCGAAGGAGAGCTCCGGGTGGGCGGTTAGGGTTAGGGTTTCGGCGTCGAAGGAAAGGAGGTCAACGCGATTGGCGTATTCCTCGATGAAGCTGCCGACGGCGATGCGGTGGTTGCGGGTTCGGGATTGGGAAGAGGAGGAGGAGAGGGCCATGGAGTAGAGAGGGTAAGGGGATTCATAGGTCACGGAATTTTCGGATCGGAGATGGGATTCTTGCGTCGTGTTCTCCATTTTCTCGCCACAATAACGGAAAATTGCAGGGATTTTCTCGGGAAAGTTTTGGGGCTTTTTGTTGGTGGAATGGTGGTTTAAGACGAAGAAAGACCGGATGGTGGCTGGTAAGATGGTTGGTGCAGTGAAGAAACGGCGTAGTTTCGTTGAGGAAAATAATCGTTGACTAATTGATTTCGTCTGTAGGTCAAATTAGACTAGTCACTACTCGTTTTTTTATTTTCTATTTTTTGGGACAAAAGAATAATCGTATTATCGTATAGTTTTTATCGACCGCATTATTGGACTTTTTGGTCGAACATATAAGGCCGGGCTTAGTTGTTAAAAGCATTTGGACCAATCTTGGGTTAGCCCAATTTGCTATTTTGAGGCCCACGTAACCCCAATAAGATATTTAAGTGATGTTTATTTCAAAAGTTTCTGTCTAGTGTAGCATTATTGTTCTTAGTTTTGTTACAGTATTTTTTCTCATAAAAAATTTAAATTTTAAAAATTAGAATTATAAACCATAATTTTAAACCCATAAACTAAACGTTATCTTAACCTTTCTAACACGTATTTTCTAGTGGATTGACATTTTTAGGAGAGCACCTAAAATTGTTATATTTTTTATATCATGTGAAACAACAAAAACTTAAAGAGTAAGAATTAGGTTTTTTTCTTTTCTAATGATATGTTTTCTTTTTTCCTCATATGTCTTATCACTCTTCCTCCTCCCTCTTCTCGTCTCTTTTCCCCTCTCTCTTTTCTGCATCGCCTCCCTCCCTCTGTGACGCCATCATGCAATCGGTTGCCACATATCTTGTCGTGCAATCGCCGTGTTTTCCTCTTATCTTTCTTGTTGGCACCTCTCTTGTCAATGGCACAAGATCTGCAAGGTTCTCAACCATGAGAGATTGATCTTCCTTCGCCGTGTTTCTCTGCCCAGACATTGTTGGAGTGGACAAAAAAAAAGAAGATTTCGTCTTGAAGGAGCTAGAGCTTTGAGGCGCCTATTTGACATGCGGCCTTGTAGTGCGAGATGAGAACGACAACGAGATCTTGGTCGTGGGCCCATGATGGACACGCAAAGGAGATCTCCTTTACAGCTATAAGACCATAGAGAGATTCAAGCAGCTTGGTGATGGAGAGATTCAAGTCTAACACGCCCTTACAGTGTCACGACGAGTACGACAGCAATATCTTTGAAGTGTTGGACGTGTGAAGATGTCATTTTTGTGTTTTTGTAAAGCTTTGATGATGTTTTGGTGATTTGTGGATTTTGTGAAGTTTTTTTTATTTTTCTTTGTATATTGCTCATGGTTTTCTAAATATTTTGATGGTGGGTATGGTTGTACTGCCTCCATTGTTGACGGTTTTCGGTGGATACCAGTCATGATACTGTCGATGTCTTGATGGATACCAACTCGTGAAGGAAACTTTTTTTCTTTTTATTTTGTATGTACTTCTCAATTATCGGGATTGTTCTTGTGCTTTTTTGTGTGATTTTGGCGAATTATTTTAGCATTTTAGTGAAAAATCTGATCATGTTGGGCAGTTTTAAGATTGGATACTAATGGTATTACGGTTGGATATCAGCAGCCACTGGGCAATAACCGCTGGTGGCTGGTATCATGGTGGTTATCAATTGATAATCCCCAACTGACATGGATACTGATTGGTATCAGCTTTGGATACTGGTCGGTATCACGATGGATACTAATTGGTAACTTAAGCTTAGTTTTGATATTCTAAACACAGTTTGATGACATGGCCATATATTCTCTACAAATGTTTATTTTTGAGAGAAAGGGGAAAATAGACTAAGACTTAAGATGAATTAAAATTAATAGGCCAATAGTTTACAAAAGTTAATAAATAGGTCAAATTACTATTATGGTCCATAACTTGTCTGGTTATGAACCATAACTTGACAAGTTATTGTCCATAACTTGTCTGACTATGAACCATAACTTGACAAATTTATTCATAACTTATCTGATTATGAACCATAACTTGACAAATTATGACCTATTAATTTCTATAACTAAAAATTGACCTATATACTTTCTTAAACTTTTCATATTGGCTTATTTTCTACTATTTTCCTTTATTTTTTTTAGACATTAGTCAACCCAAGCCTTAAATTTATATTCATCCTCTAACGAGCCCAACGCAAATACCATTGAGCAGCTCCCTGTTGATTGGAAATGGGTCATAAATCCATCACACATTTCTAAAATTTATGAGAAAATTGTAAAATTAACTTTTAAAAGTGCATGAGTTTAGATTTTAATTTTTTATTTTTAATAAATACCCTTTTATTAATATAATTATTTGACTAAAAATGTTATTAATTAAGAATAAATGGTAAATATCATGATCCATACATTTTTAAAAGATATTTATCAAGATTACTCAAAGTTTTTAGAAATAAAACACTTACGAGAGCATAGAGATTTATTTCCTTTGTTAAACACCTTTTTTTTTTTTTTGGCTGAATACTATACGATTTGTGCCAAAAAGAAGGCTCAAAATTAAAGAGATAGTTAATAAGATAAATTTCCTAATTTTTCTTTTGGTGGCTAGAGAAGATAAACACAACTCTAAGTTGCTTGATATTTGTGATTAGACTTTATATAAAAATTAATAAATAGTGTTGATGGTGATGGTAGTGTAGGATCTGGTATTGATGAGCACACCAATGATAAGAAATGTTATTATCGGAAATTTATAATAATACCATCTCATTCAAAAAGAATAAATGTATATTTTCTTTAAAGACTATATATGTCCTTACTTTTTCTTATTATATATTAACTTATAAAAGGTTGAATTCTAAAAAAAAATAAAAAATGACGTAAAACTAAATAAGTGAGCTGAGGGCAGATTTCCTGACTTGCTCTAGTATTAATTAGACTTGAGTTTTATAAGATGAAATGCTTGAGGCTTTTAGTCAGATAACTTTTTTAATGCTATAATTGATGAATAAATATTATTTTTTTAAGTAAATTGATGAATAAACAAGAAAATTCAAATATGAATAAAAATCAAGTGGTAAAAACAAAATATATACCTGAGTAAGGAAAGAAAACTACAAGCGCCCCTTGCTCCTTGAGCATGAGTTCATTTGTCCATATAACCCCTTAGTTTGTTCAGGATTTCCATAACTTTTTTTTTCCTTCTTCTTTTGTTACTTTGTTCAATTCATTACTTTTTGTCCATCCTCTTAACTTTCTTTGGTACCAGCTGTGTGATTAAATTCATTCATGCAATAATGTAGAACTCACATTATATAGTGTCCCAAACTATTATTTTATTGAATATGGATAGAAGATTTGTGATGTTAAAACACTCTTAGGCCCTGAACATTTCACCGATTCGAGTTTAGAATTCGAATTTTGTTACAGTAAAAAGCTCTCAGAAGCAGTCACATCTAACTTTTTTATTACAGTAAAAAAACTCACATAAAATCACATCTCAACTCAAATTAGTGAACTAAACAGACTCTTACTCATTTTTCTACCTATTGATTCGCCCATATTGCATGGCCTTACCTGGTAATGCTTTGACCGGACAGTTCCACTTCTAGTCCCACATTTTAGCTTGAACACCAAAGTTGAGCCTTGAAGAATATTGCCGAACAAAAATCCTATAAAATATATTTTTTTTAAGGTTCTATTATGTTGTACCCTTCCATATTAAAAAGAAAAGTTAAAATTTAGATTCTGATTGGATCTGCGCACTGCAAAATTATGTAATCATGTTAAAATCCATTTGATGGGATGAAAAAAATTGTATAAAGTTACACTTTCAATATTCGGCAAAAAGCTAAATTTTCTTCTTCCTTTTTGTTTTTAATTTTGCATTACGAGATTGAGAAGCCTTTTTCTACCTAATACCTAGTACTCTATCATAAGAAGATATTCAACAACAAAAAAAAGAGTAGTCCACAACGTCATTTTTCTATTGGGTTTTGAAAAAGATAACAAATTTATATATTTATTTTGCTCAAATAAAGATAACAAATTTATTTTTTTTCCCCCCAGATCACGCTCTAAAGCAGGACCACAAACATTATAGGAAAGTGCAGAAAGTGCTGAGAGTGCGGCTTCCATTATCTATATTCTATATATCTCTATAAGTTACAAACAAAAGCAATAATATACCTTTTTAACTTTTTAAAAAAAAAACACATATTAGTAATACTAGCTTCAAATCTTTGTCTGATTAGCAAAAACTTTAAGGAAAATTGCATTTAATTAAAAAATAATAAACATTTATTTCAGTACAATATTAATGGCTCATTAGAGGGACAGACGCACGTCTAAAGCCCGGAATTGAGAGAACACCTCACCACACTAACAATGAGCACACATAAAGCTCAAATTGAAAAAACTCCTCCCATCGAGATAGACTTTCGAGCACTGGAGGGACAGATCGCCAAACTCCACAAAAAGGACGTATACACGGCATATAAAAAATTTTAACCTGACCAAGACAACCCTATCATGAGACATACAAATGACCTTATGCCGATCACTAAAAACTAACAACAAATAGCAAAACAAACGATAGTCGGGTAAGGAGACCCCGCCCTTATTACAAACACGAAAATTACATTAAAAAAAAGGAAAAAAACCTCCGACCACCACTGTTAGAAGCCTTCGGTGAAGAGCAATCGGCCAATGGGCTGTCAAGGGAGATAGCCGACTAAGAGATCTTAGCCACTAAATGACAAATTTACCTGGAAACGAAGCTCATCCATTGGGCTTTCAAGCTCCAAATTAGTTTAGATCTACTTAAACGGAGCGACTACACAATACACTGCCATCACAAATGAGAAGCTCTGGCCGGAAGCCCAACAACGCGCTTGGAAGTGGCCCTGAAACTTCAACTGTTGTTCACTCTTTTTTCTATGGTTCGTGTGGGGGAGAGAGAAAGTTGAACTCTAAAAAATACGAACTCAACGACACTCCTACTCTTGGTTGATACCGTAAAATGCTCCCGCATCTTTTGTCTTCTCTTTTAAACTTCCCAAAAGATGTGTACATGCCTTTTATTACAAGCACACTATCACTATACTAAAGTTCTTTTTTTTTTTTTTTTTTTTTTTTTTTTTT